ACAGAATACTAGTAGTACATGGCTTCGTAGAAATACCGACGCTTGAGCTTCATACTACATCATCAGTAGATAGATGACACTCTACTCGATTCCTTGTACCATATGCCATAACTTCAACATACAGCCACTCCTTCTTCCGGGACAGTATACCCATATGGAATAGCCTTCCACAACCTTTGGTGAATAGTACCTCACTAGGTGCTTTCAAGCAGCGACTACTGAGCTGCAGCATTCCATAATCGCACTATCAGACTGTTTTTAACTTGCACCTGTAAAAATTTTCTTTCAACTATACTGTCACACCCTGCATGGTTATAGTGCTTGTGTGTAATACTGAATTAGAAGATTGCACTGTATTGGAAGAGGATGATGAAGAAGAAAATAACTATGTTGACTAACATTCCGTATGATAGGCTTTGCAAACACTCTGGAAGGAGACACCAAATGACATACGCAAACAAGCTAGTTTTAACCGATGCAACCAAAAAGAAATAATATTTTTTTTTATTTCATTCGAATATATGCTTCTAAGTTGGATGTTATATTTGAACAATAACCTGCCTATGCTAATTTATTTTTCTTTTCTTCATCAGGCATTTACATCTATTCATCTATAGTGGCAAATAATTAAGCAAGCGAGATAAATAGGCATAATCTAGCAAATTAAAAGGAAAACAAAAAAATATATAATACGATACGATACAACGAAATAAAATATATGGACGAAAGTATATCATTTTCATTAATATAATGATTATTGTAATTACAGTACAAGCACCTTTATACATTAATAATTTATCATTAAAATCTAATCAGTGACTTTAAACCAGGGGTTCCAGTACATGTTGTATTCTTTGACACTCATGTTTTTTGAGGAAGTATGCTTTTCTAAAGTTAAATTTTCTTTGATATAATTTTTAAGTCCCTCTATATGAGATTTTTCATCTTGCATCTTTGATCTGTAGATGAAGTACTTTGCTAGTGAAATAACTTTATTTTTTATAAAATTTAGTTTATAATTTTCATAGAGGCCAAACATGACAATATCTACATTTAGTGGAATTTAAATATGTGTTGCCTCAAAAATCCAAGCATTCAGGTGGTGCCAGATGTCTACTACAATATGACAGCCCCACAGTAAGTGTTCTATAGTTTCTGGTTCTACCTTGCAAAATGTACATAAATTACAATGAACAAAGTTCTTTTTAAAAGTTAAGTATTAGTACCTAAAATACGGTGAAAACAACAGAGCTTGGTATTTTTTGAAAACTCAGTTACACAATTATGCATTTTTTTCCTATCTCCAACAACTTTATTTAATATAATCTCTCATTTTTGCTCAGCTTCAACTACAACTGGTATTGTACCTTGGTTTAAAAAATTATACATGTCTTTTGAACCTTTGTCTGACTTGAAGAAAATGTTAATATCAAAAGGTAAAAGAGCTTGTTGTTTTTTTCTCTCCCTTATAGTGTTGATTCCTGTATATTGTAACAATTTTTTTAATGCGATTTCAATCCCATAAAATTGTACAAAAGTGGGTTTAAAATTATATAGCCTTTCAAAAATTTTGATAAGACAATATATTTCCTTGCTCATCTAAAATGTAATTTACAGTCCATACCCCATTTTGTGCCCAACTTCTATAATAAACACAGACATCATCAATGTTAATGTTCTCACTATTCCATATAGATGAAGAGATGACTTCCTCAAAATAACAAGGATGTCGGAATCTTGACATATTTTTCCAGGCATAAAAAATTTGATTATCTAATTTTTTTGTTGTTCCAAAATAAGTCAACTCTGTACAATTTATATTTTGTGAAGAAGTAAATAATTTTATCCACTTTGAATTTGAATTAAATAATCTTCTAACCCAAGTCAGCTTTATATAATTGTATATAATTGTATAAAATTTCTTAAATTAATCATTTTTAACCCCCCTCTGCAATATTCTTGACATAAAAGCTCCCGATTTACCTTGTCGGGTTTACAATCCAACACAAATGCATAAATTTTACATTTGAGTTGACTTAGTACATTGTCATCTGGACTGGGGATGGATAGGAACAGATGATTCAATTTTGATACAATTAAAGACTTTATAATAGTTATTTTACCAAATGGGGAAAGCGACTGTTTTGACCATTTTTGTATAATATTTTCGATCTCTTGGATTCGAGAAGCATAATTTAGGTTTAACATTTTATCCAAATCAACACAAAAAGTAATACCCAATAACGTGAAGGTACTGGAACCCCATTTCAATCCCCACTTTACACATATTTTATCTTGACTATGTTTCTTCCTATCCATATAATATTTGTTTTATCTAAGTTAATTTTCCTGATATCTCGGCATAGAATTGTAAAATACAGAGGGATGCATCTAAAGAGGAAGGCGATTCATCTAATATAAGTGATGTGTCATCTGCATATTGAGACAAGATAAACTCTGTATTTAGATTTCATGGGCTTTTATAAAGTAGATTTGCTTTAGTGCTTAAGAGAGAGGTGGAAGATAACAAGGGGTATTCAAACTCATTAGATGAAATACCAACTGGCAACACCATGGCAAAATAAAACGACCAAAAGACATACAACAGTCTACAATATACAACATAATGAACTTCATACTTAGCAACATGAACCCCATCGAAAACCGGGGGATGATCCCAGTTGCTCTAGAAGGGTGAGCTGAACCTGCTCCACATGTGGCACCTGTCGTGTTGCTCATGGAAGTACATATTTAGTAATACGTCTAATTCGGTGATGTCACATTCGAGACAAAGTGGACGGGTTTGTGGCTACGACAATTAGAACATATCTGTCGTCATCTGTCAAACAGATATTCCATAACGGTCAACCAACTCGTCATGGCGTCCGTAAAATTTTCGAAGAATTGATGACATCAACTTCCCTCCTTGGATCACTTGGTTTAATAGCTACCTTGTAAGAAGAAGCCCTCTATCAAAGAAATCCTGATAGGAAATGCAAGCTGTGGAATATTGTATCAACTGGGAGATTAATGATTATAATGCCTTTACCAATGCTATTTTTGTATTTTACTTTTAACCAACTTGCACAATTACAATACAAATGGTGAATATTTGATAAAGTACTTTCTGTTTTGAATTTTCCTTGGAGTCCGGTATTTTTGTTATTTTACTTTTAACCTACTTGCACAATGACAATACAAATGGAATTTACAATGAGCGTATGCTAAATGCATGGATAAAACTAATCTGGCTGAAAAACAGATCATGTGTCCTCGTTTCCGCGTTTGAGATTGGTTTAGATGCGTCTTCGTATATATTTAAAATTTTCATTAGACGATAAGATTTCAGTAGCTAAAAAGATGACGACACAAATTTCTGATGTTTTGTTATGATTATTACAGGGATTTTCTTAGAAAAAAGGGCTACCATTGTTTCGGAGTATATATCTAAATATGTTAGTGGAATAGATGGGTGTACAACTCAGGTCTTTCTGGTGCCACCATTGGTCGGCTTACTGAATTCATTTCATCTGGGAAAGTAGAGTTAGGTTCAGTAGATTTTGTTATTGTCCATGTTGGTACTGATAATATTTCTTCTTCTCAATATTTAGATACTATTATGTCATATTTTGGAGATTTAATTCACAAGTTAAAGAATTCGAAAAGGGCATTAGCGAAGTTGATTTTTACATATATTCTTCCCAGACCAGTTGATCACAAGAAATCTGGCGCATAAGTCAATAAAGTTAATTCTGAGTTAAAAAGATTGTGTAAAAGAACGAATATACTTTATTGTAATTTGTATAGGAGTTTTTTACAAGATAATATTCCGGATTCTTCTTTATTTGCTCCGAGAGACGTACTTCATTTAAATTTTTCTGGTACAGAACTTTTCAGAATAAAAGATTATCAATAGTATTAAGCATCAGAGTGTATAATTTGAAGTGTGTAATTAGTTATATGTTTTTATTTACTTCATATATTGTTTATTATAATTATTCTTTTTTCTCTTTTCAGGAAACTTGCATCCTGAATATGATGTTGGTTTTCCTCTGACTACTCAGGATCTACATACATTCTGACTACTCAGGATCTACATACATTCTGACTACTCAGGATCTACATACATTCTGAGTGGGTTTTCTGTTATCCTTTCATTATCTATACGCAATTTGAAAGGATGGAGTTTATTTTAAAGAGAGAAAAAAGAGTTTTATATGTCTTGGCGGATGTTTTCCAAAAAATTGCTTATATTTATGTTTATGTATTATCTATCACTTGTGTATTATATATCGTTTTTTTTTTTTTGTAATATTGAAAAAAAATATTCACGACAGGAAATACAAGTTATACCTATTGAATTCTTTTTATTTCACCCAGTTGATAATTAATAATGAATTACAACTGAGCTTTATAAAAGAATTTCAGTATTTTCATTTCAACACTGTGATAATCTTCTGAAGTTCAAAATATCAAGGACGTATAACTAACTTATATACGTCTTTGAAAACATCAACCTCCTCAATAAAGAAAGGCTTTTATTAAAAATAGTGTAGAAACATATCATGCTTATATTATCCAGTTCGTTAGATTCTGCACCTACTACGATCACTCCGAACTACAGAATGAGACCAATGTATAGTTAGGATTGTCAATCCGCGTTACTAATAAAAGTTAAAACCGTCTGTTTAGATATTTACCAAGTTGTTTAAAGATATTTAGCTGTCTAGAGGCTTTATTGCAAATGTTGGATATATGAGTACTCAATTGTAATTCAAAATTCATAATCACCTCTAATAATTTAACTTCTTTTTTACACCTAATTTAGTTCCCACCCAAATCAAAACAAATATTTTTATCCATTGTTTTTTTTTTTTTTTTTTTTGCCCAATAGCCCCACTGAGTGATTCTTATACTTACTTGCTGTATAATATTATATTGTTCGCATGCAGATAAGTTATAACTACGGAATATATAAGTCCGTATCCGACTTTGTTTATTGTACAATTAAGAAATCGAAAATAGACCCTGTCTATTTTGGTAGTTTCACTTTGTTCTTAGTAAGTTTGATTACTATTATATCTACATTAAACACGACATGTTATGTTAAGTCAGTTCCGCAGAACGACCTGTATCTGAGTGTTTATCTGTATAATGCAGAAGAATACATATTTAAATGTCATTTTATTTTCGAGTTACCTGATCACGAGATCATTTGTAATGTTTTTACAAAAATGGCTGTGTTTATCTCCCATTATTTATTTTAAGTACAGACAAACTTGTAAAACTGGAAATGTTATCAAGCCTAGCAGGACCTAAATACACTAAATTTAAATGCATTTGACATTTACTAGTATATAAATGTAAATTCAAAGCCAGTTTAAACCTTCATCTGTAAATATATGATTTTAAGGTTCATCATAACAAATGGACAAAAATGGCTGTGTTTAGACCTCAACAACTACTCTGAGTACAGACTAACATGTCCAGTTGGAAAAGTTTTAAGGCCTGGCATCCACTAGATATATAAACGTTAAATGCATTTTGTGTTTCAGAAAGATAAAATCTTTTTTGGATTTTGATGGGCATTTTTTTTTCGTTCCTGCAGAAGGTGTAAATATAAACTAACACCTGAATTGCATTTGATACTGTCCACTCAGTTACATCCTTTAACTCGCCTATAGTTGTGTACATATCTATTGTCTGTCTATTGTCCATGCCAATCAAGGACAATCAATACAATACAATGCAGTTGTTACCTGAGAGGGAGCATCTCAAAGTTGTATCCCAACTTAGTTTATTTTTATACCCCACGCAACGAGTTGCGGAGGGTATAATGTTTTTGACCCGTCCGTCCGTCCGTCTGTCAGTCCGTCAGTCCATCAGTCCGTCAGTCCTGTTTCTTGTCATCGCAACTCCTCTCAAACCACATAACAGAATTTCACGAAACCTTTTTAGATAATAAGGACATACTATGTAGTTGTGCATATCGACAGGAAATTGCGATTCAATTTTTTTTCTAGGAGTTACGCCCCTTTGAACTTATTTACTTTAATGTACTACTGCAACAGTTTGTCATCGCAACTCCTCTGATACCACACAACAGAATTTCATGAAACCTTTTTAGATAATAAGGACATACTATGTAGATGTGCATATCGACAGGAAATTACGGTTCAATTTTTTTTCTAGGAGTTACGCCCCTTTGAACTTATTTGCTTCAATGTACTATGCAACAGTTTGTCATCACAACTCCTCTGATACCACACAACAGAATTTCATGAAACCTTTTTAGATAATAAGGACATACTATGTAGATGTGCATATCGACAGGAAATTGCGATTCAATTTTTTTTCTAGGAGTTACGCCCCTTTGAACTTATTTACTTTAATGTACTACTGCAACAGTTTGTCATCGCAACTCCTCTGATACCACACAACAGAATTTCATGAAACCTTTTTAGATAATAAGGACATACTATGTAGATGTGCATATCGACAGGAAATTATGGTTCAATTTTTTTCCTAGGAGTTACGCCCCTTTGAACTTATTTGCTTCAATGTACTACTGCAACAGTTTGTCATCACAACTCCTCTGAAACCACACAACAGAATTTCATGAAACTTTGTAGATAATAAGGTCATACTATGTAGATGTGCATATCGACAGGAAATTATGATTCAATATTTTTTCTAGGAGTTACGCCCCTTTGAACTTATTTGCTTCAATGTCTTCTGCAACAGTTTGTCATCACAACTCCTCTGAAACCACACAACATAATTTCATGAAACTTTGTAGTTAATAAGGACATACTATGTAGATGTGCATATTGACAGGAAATTATGATTCAATTTTTTTTTCTTACACATATTTTATTTCTCCAATGACAATGTGAGGACGTGGGGTATGTGAGCGCGCTCACTAAGGTTCTTTAATTACACCTTCTGCAGGAACGAAAAAAAATGCCCATCAAAATCCAAAAAAGATTTTATCTTTCTGAAACACAAAATGCATTTAACTTTTATATATCTAGTGGATGCCAGGCCTTAAAACTTTTCCAACTGGACAGGTTAGTCTGTACTCAGAGTAGTTTTTGAGGTCTAAACACAGCCATTTTTGTCCATTTGTTATGATGAACCTTAAAGAGCATCATAACAAATTGATATAAACTTGTGCGATTGTTCAATGACCTTTTGCAAGGCAGATGACATGCTTATGAAGACTTAGGGTAAGAGCTACGATGTTTAGTATATATGATACTAAAATACAATTTACATGTGTGAGTGCATCACACAAATAATAAAGTTAATGTATTCAATCTCCCAGAATCTACTCCAAAATAATTGAAAGAGTCTGAAAAGTAATTCATAACAATATGACAAAAGGCAATGTAATTCATTACTTTCAATTGCATATGTAATTTATAACTACTGAAGGTAGGTGGTTCTCTCTTGGCACTCAAGCTTCCTCCAATAAAAACTGCCATGAAATAGCCAACAGTGATGAAAGTGGCTTTAAACACCAATCAATCAATCAATCAATTACTTTCAATATGATCAATTACACATTACTTTTAAAATTCTTTAAAATTACAAGTAATTATAATTACATTTTACTTACCCCAGGTTCTAAGTATTAGGTTGTAGATTCAATATTTTATTGAGGTCTATTACTGTAATATCTGATAATTAAATATATACTGCTGAAATAAGTTTTGGACGTTTTTATACTGAAAACTTATATATATCGTGAAAAATAATGATAATTTTTTTTTGGTGATCAAAGAGGGGCATAGATCCCTAGATCCACCACTGTTGATTGGTTATCTGTATCTGTATATTAAAGATAGTGCGCATATTTTAAATAACAGAAATATTAAAAGAACTGTTACATATATATGTCTTGATATTTGGCAACTGTGTAAGAATCTGAATTAATATATGATACAAATTATGATATTTTTTGTTTATGTCATACTTTTGCTTTTAAAAAGGAGTCGTGCAGAAAAGATTAATAAAGAAACATGGATCTGCTGTATTGTATACTTATAGCTGTATGTTCTCTTGGTGTTAAAGCAAATGTGAATACATATGGTAAGTTAGTTATTGTGAATTAGAATTAATGACAAAGTTAAAATGAGGGTATATGGGATAGATAACATCATGTTTGTGCTGTCACCTGAATGAGTCCATAATTACCATCCATACAGACAAAATTATATAATGCTTGATTTCAGTAAAAGTGGGTCAGGGTGCCACTTGTGGAGCAAGAATTGCTGACCCTTTCGGAGTACTTGAGTTCAATACCTAGTGGGGTCCCTGTTTCCCAATTTTTGGTTTTGTGTTTTATATTTTGTTGATTGTTATTTGTATCTTTGGTTTTATCTCTATTGGCTATGGTGTTGTCTCCCCTTCCAATAGAAATGTTCTATCATCCCCTTTTTACTCTTGTTTGTGCCTACACAGACAATATTATTTCAAAATTATTCCAAAATAATTTCAGATTTTATGATGAAATTTTTCACATGTCAATGGAAATTACAGATAAAGCACTAATAATTTAACAAAAACAGCATCTACCTTTCTTAATTTTAACTATTTTTGTTTACAGTGAGGACATTTGAGCAACCTGAAGAGAGAATATCCACATTGAAGACAGTGTGTTATTATCCTATGAGTAATGCAATCAATACAACAACAAAAGATCCTTTACCAGAAGGCTTTAATTCAACCCTGTGTTCACATGTTATATTCATACCAACCATTATAGATAGAAATAACCGAATACAGCCAGCAACTCCTTCACATGCAGTCCTTTTCCAGAGAGCTATTCCTGTAATCAGACAACAGAATCCAAAGTTAATAATTATGGTATCAAATGGTGGCCACTTCGACCCAGTAATGGAAAGTATGGGAAACATTTCACAGTGAGTAAAATTGATTTGTTCTTTATTTTTATTAGGTAAATCTCTTTTTTGTCAAAGATCAAAACATCCAATGAAACTACAGGTTAAATGACTGATATAACAGAGAGTTTCTTCTTAAAATATTTATAGCTGGCTCACCAGGTCTTCAATAATCTTTTGTACATCTATTTCAGATTTGTCCAAAGTGCTGTGGTATTACTGAGGAAATATAATTTTGATGGCCTAGATTTAGATTGGGAGTTCCCTGGCTGGCCTATAACAGAAAAACCTCACGGACAAATCCATAATTTCAGCATAGTGCTTACAGTAAATATAATATAATAATACTTTTTGATAAGTTTTGTACAAAAACAACAGAAATCAGTTTTAAACCTTTGTCATAATATTAAACATGTATAAAATATGCTTCCTAAATGCTAAAAAATAACATTATGAAACCAATGGCACATAAAGTACAATGTGTTTACATTTTTTAGTATGGTTATAAATATCTGATAAAATATTTCTTGTACAAATAATGTTCATTAATACAAAATGTATTTATTTTGTAGGAATTGAGAAAATCCTTTGAAATGGAAGCTGTGCAGACAAACAGAACTAGGCTTCTCCTCTCAGCTGCTGTTGCTGCAACAAAAGAAATGGCAGAAAAAATCTATGAAATGGATTATTTAAAAAAGTAAGATTTCATGTAAATTCAACGGTGTTAAATTCTACTAGCAAAAAGATATAATTAGTTCAACTCTGTCAACTTTGATTAGAAAATGCAGACGCTTATTAGATACACAACACATATTTCATTTATAGTTGTAAAAAAGTATGAATTAAAGTATATATGGATTTATATCAAGATTCTAATCAAATTTTGTACATATCATTTCCTTGATAATGATATTGTCAATTGTTGCTCATGGCAATTGCATATACTGTGTATCATTTAGTGATGACAAAATGGAGGAAACGAAAGATAGGATTGTTGCTACAACAATTGGAACATATCCATGGTCATCTGTGACACAGATATTCCATAACGGTCAACCAAATCATGATGGCGTCGATAAAACTTTTGAAGGGAAGACCAACTTAACCACTTGGAACACTTGGTTCAAAAACTTCCTTGTAAGCAGCAGCACTCTAACAAGGAAACCATAATAGGAAAGACAGGCTCTGGAATATGGTATCAATGGGTTGATATATATATAGATATAAGAAGATGTGGTATTAGTGCCAATGAGACAACTCTCCATCCAAGTCACAATTTGTAAAAGTAAACCATTATAGGTCAAAGTACGGCCTTCAACACGGAGCCTTGGCTCACACCGAACAGCAGGCTATAAAAAAATGACTAGTGTAAAACCATTCAAACAGGAAAACCAACGGTCTAATCTATATAAAAAAAGAGAAACGAGAAACACTTATGAACCACATCAACAAACAACAACCACCTGACTTAGGACAGGTGCAAACAAATACTCCATATGCTGGTTCTGCTGGTATTTTGTTACATAGATATTAAAGGTCGTTACATAGATATGGAAAGTTTGTTACATAGATATGGAAAGTTTGTTACATAGATATTAAAGGTCGTTACATAGATATGGAAAGTTTGTTACATAGATATGGAAAGTTTGTTACATAGATATGGAAAGTTTGTTACATAGATATGGAAAGTTGTTACATAGATATGGAAAGTTCATACAGGAAACTGACATTATTACTTGTGTAGTAAAGTTAAGTTCTAAACTAATCCTCATTGTCAATTTCTAGATGTAAGTCAAGATATGAGACAAACTTAATTGCTTCTGTGGTATACTTAATTTCAAGTTTGATTGGATACATATGTGCAATATATAGTCACCAAAGTTTGAATTAAGTGAGAAGATTTCTGCTTTATAGTGGAAAGTGAAGTAAAAAGATAATGCTAGCTTCTTTTTATTCTTCCTGAAAGCTCCTGTATGAAGTCTGTCTCAAATGAATTAAGGAACACATTGGTTAGAAGAGGTGCACAATTGTTTCCCAAGGGAATATTGATTGGTTTTTTTAAATAGATATGCTGTCATTAGAAATCAAGCACCAAAGACATAATACAATCACAGTACAGTTTACTACAATAAAACTTCAAATACTTCTAACTTTAAAACTACTAAGAAGATATAAAAATAGAACAGTATTAATCTAACTATAGTTCTCCCCTACAGGGCCCTAGATTTTGTCAACATGATGGGATATGATTACAATGGATGGGGACTATTGAGTCCACTGACAGCTTACAACTCACCACTGTTTCCTGAAGCCTATGATAAATATGCCTTCAATACTAATAACCTGGTAAGTGCAATCCTTTATTGTCATTATAAGGATGTCATGTCTGTCTGTCTGTTCTACAAAATATGTCTTCAATACTAATAATCTGGTAAGTGCAACCCTGTAGTGTCATTATAAGGATGTCATGTCTGTCTGTCTGTTCTACAAAATATGCCTTCAATACTAATAACCTTGTAAGTGCAATCCTTTAGTGTCATTATAAGGATGTCATGTCTCTCTGTCTGTCACAAAATATGCTAAATAAAATTGTTTTACAGCTTTTATAGAATAAAAATAGTCTATCACATAATAATCTTACTTGTATGCTTATCAACTTAAAGGTTTTGTAAGTGGACTATTATTACAGGATAGCACTTGAAGTTAAGTTGAATGAACATGCAACTAATAGTTTCAGTGACCAGTTATTTAACTATGAGTTATTCATATTAAAATTCAATACTTCTGTTACTTCACAACAATAGTCTGGTCAAGAAAAATAACACATAAGACTTTTTTTGTTTCACATTTATTATAAATAGGTCTTTGAATTTATTCTAATGTAAGGTAGTATGAGAGAAATTTGTTCCTGCCATCTTGGATCAAAATTGATCAATATAAATGTTTATTTTGAATTTTTTGAAATAAAATGCAACTTGTTTGCATGAATGCTTTAAAATGAAGAGGTTATCTAATCTTATGATAAAACTGTTTTTTTAGATACAAGAAATTAACTTCTGATTTCATTTTTTGCTTACAAGGCTAAAGAATGTATCATGAATGCCAAGAATTTTGTCTTATTTCTACATATTGTACTCTTGAGTTTTCTATTCCAGAAATATGCATCAAATGCAGCAAAAATTGTGTGCTTCACTGATTGTATGCATTAGTATATGATATATGTTGTTTATTGTAGGCTTGGTCAGCAACACACTGGGGATCATGGATTGGTAAAGACAAATTAATGGTTGGCATTCCGTTCTATTGTCATGCATTCAAACTGTTGACACCATCAATGCATGGGTACCATGCTATAGCCACTGGTAGAGGGGAATGTGATATGGCAGCATATCTCTGTGCAAGTATTTATCATCCATCCCTTCAACCCATATCACCCTGCTCAGTCACTCAGTAGTTCTATCAAGGCTTTGAGACGTGAGCAGACTATAAAGCTTTTTTGCTCGTTCGCTGTGCTTCCACACCAAAATGGTTTGCATTGTGGCTCACAGCTGATATTTTACGATATCAATTGTCAGAAAACCTGATAATCTATACATATCACCATTTATTACTTCGAGAGAGTTTAAGTAAAAATTGTTGTTAAATAGCAATATAATAAGGATAATTATACCCCGTTTACAGGACGTATTATGGTATTTTTTGTTCTGCTCTACTCTTGACACCTGTCCCCCTGCTCAGGGTTAACGTCTGATAGTGAGAAAACAAGGACAGGTTCAGACAGACAACTATTGCTAGCAGTGAAGACTAACCACCTATCTCACTGCACGGCTTTTATCAGATGAAAATACCAATACTCAAAATATATTACTAATTCAACTCAGAAATTGATGTGTTGAAGTAGACATGATTAATGAATGGTCAGTTTGTAGACATTTATAAATAATAATATATTTCACTTTTTTAGGCATGTGATGCCCTGAAGAAAAAGAATGCCACTCGTGTATTTGACAATGCTGCTAAAGTTCCATATCTTTACTATGGTGACCAGTGGGTCAGTTATGATGATGTACAGAGTACTACCATAAAGGTGAAGCAATATTATCAATTGTTAAAAATGTTATGATGTGACTTCTTTGGGGATCTTTTAATATTTTTGAATAGAAAATTTGACACATTTTATTTATTTTTTTTGTGTGAAATATTTGAAGAGAAATATTTTTTTGAAAGGAACATAATAATGTTTAACTAGCATATTATGAATATTGATGCAATCACAATATTACAAGCACACCAAAATTTCCAGGATCAATTTGAAAAAAAAATGCCAATTAATTAGTCTCAAAATACCTAAAAATGACGTAACGTAACTCTTCTAAAGTTATTTTATGGGCTTAATAAAACAAACTACTTTGGTAGGGCTATATTGCATAGCAAACATAGTTATTACATTGATTATTATGTATATATTTTTAGGCCAAATGGATAAAAGACAATGGTTTTGGAGGTCTAATGACATGGAACATGAGGTCTGATGATTATCAAGGTGTTTGTGATGGCAAAACAAAATACCCACTGATGAATGCTGTTCTGAGGACTATACATAACCAAACATAGCAATACATAATTTTAAAATCAAAACATATGTATATTATATAAATATATATATATATTATTATTTATTTGCTTGTTTGGCAGTTCCACCTTTACAATAGGGTCAAGCACTTCCGGGATAGTAGTACTTCTCTCCCCATAGTGTTGAGGTGTATATTGATGATTGTATTAACATTTTGTATAGACACTTATTTCTTATTGAAGACCATATGTGGACCTCTAAATGTCTCTCGGTTTTTTTATGTTATTGTTTTTCTGTCTCATCTTTGCAAACCCTACATGCCCTTTTAATCATTTAATTCTCAGGAACAGTAGCATTGACTTACATTCCATGAATTGTTATTTTTCAGGCCTGCCATTAAGTACTAGGTGCGGTTTGGATAGTCAGTCCTTAATTATGTTGTTCTGGTAGTGATTGTTGGATTACATCAATTTTTTTCTGTAAAAAGTTCAGAGGACGAATAATGCAGATTCCTTGACTTTAACTTTCAAAATGTTAAAATTTAGATTTCTCATTGAAGAATTGATGAAATTCAGCTTTAGTCATATTTCAAATAATGTTTATATTGAAATTAAATATATCAGTTTTTTTGTCAATGTCTGACATGATTTTTAGTAAATAAACAATGAAATAAGTGTTACCCTGAGATTGATGTCTGTGAAATCTGTATGGCTTCAGGTCTGGGCATTTAAATTCCATGATGTGTGAAAATCTGCGATTGATACATATTATTGTATTATACATGAGTATTTTTGTACAAATGTATTATGATGAACAATTCTTATTTCTTCATACTGTGAATAAAAGATGTTACATGCTATCTTTTTTAGTCCCTTACGGACTAGTCCAAGGGGACTATTGTTTTGCACTCTGTCTGTCTGTCCATCCGTTTTCCACACTTTTTTTCTTCATGCTTGAAGATATTGATTTGATATGTGGTATATAGTTTTACCATGACAAGTTACAGATCAAATTCGAATTTTATTCGGTTCAAATGTTTTGTTTGCAGAGTTATGGTCCTCTGAATTTGAAAATTCACGCAAGTAATCAGTTTTCCCCATTTTGTTTTTGGTATGCTTGAAGGTATTGGTTTGATATTTGGTATAAAGTATTACCATGACAAGTTACAGACCAATTTGTAATTTTGTTTGGGTCAGATGATTATTTTGCAGAATTATGGTCCTCTAACCTAGAAAATTCACACAAATAATCAGTTTCCACACTTTTTTTTCATCATGCTTGACGATATTGATCTGATATTTGTGTTATAGTTTACACCATGACAAGTTATAGATCAAGTTAGCATTTTGTTCCAGTACAATAAATTTTTAAACCGGTAGGGGACTATGTATTGCCATGCAATACGCTCAGAATGCTTGTTGTATTTCTTTTCAGTTTCATTCATATACCACAAGTCTGTTTTGACCAATCAACACCTTTGTTGCTTATATCTTTCATTATTTATTTGTATTCTGATTAAGATATATATTAAAGATGAAGTCCTTATATATTGTCAAATTTCGGTGTAGTTTTCAGCATTTTTCAGAAACTACAGCAGCATAATTTGGAGTGTAGATGCATTGGCTAAGATGGAGATCACATGACCCATATTTCATTGTTCAATTGTTTTCATAAAGTTTTTAGTTCCCCTCAAAGTTGAAGGGACTATTGGATTACCATGAGCATCTGCAGTAATAAGAAGTTCACATAACCCATATTTTATGGTTCATTTGCTTTAATACAGCTTTTAACTACAGTGTTACATCCACAATTATTTATCAGATGCAAAGTGACCAACAGTCATTAAGCCTGCTTTAAGGATGCATCTAGGATAGTATTGCAGGCGCTCATTAAAAGAATATTATGCTGTCTTCCCTTTTACTGTTACATAGATTAATTCTAGGTAAAATGTTGGAAACTAAGTTTCCCACAATTATATAAATAATAACTTGATGGTAGTATAACAGCATCCCACAAAACTTAGACAGCTTTTATCTTTCATTGACTTTGATAAAGGTTTAGGTCCGAGATAAGATCTAAGATATTCAGCGTATGCATCTTGAAGAGTATAGCATCCAACGTTGCCATACAAAGTATGATGTGTAATAGCAATCTCGGATATTACTTACTTACTTAATGATACTTAATGATGTTTTCCGGTACAGGATCCTCAAGTTTCCTCTTCACCAGACTTATATATTGTGTTATTATCTCTATTATTTCTGTTGCTGCTTCCGGTTATTTCAGCTCGATAATCAGAATAATAGATTTCTTCGCATTCCCAGTACTTATCTAGTCTATTTTTAAAAGCATTTATAGAAGGAGCTTTTGTAACTTTATCTGGTTGCTTATTCCATAATTTGGCAATTCTTACTGCAAAGCTATTTTTCCTCAGACTGGTTTCAAATCGTTGGTGAATGATTTTGTTACTATTAACTCTTGTGCTATGCCTATTTTCGGTGTTTGATATTAATTTGAGAAATGAACTAGTTTCTGGATCGTATTTTCCATTTAGTATCTTATAAGTCTCAATCACGTCCCCTCGGACCCTTCTATATGACAATGTTGGTAGACTCAGCTTTTTCAATCTTTCTGGGTAGCTTAATTTATTGAATCCAGGTATCTGGCGTGTCGGTCTTTTTTGTACATTTTCGATTTTGTCAATAAATTTCTTTTGAAAAGGTGCCCATCCTGAACTAGCATAATCTAAGTGTGTTTTCACTAATGTTTTATATAGTGGAAGGAAGATCTCTGCATTTAAATTTATAAATGTTCTTCTTACTGCTGCAAAGATAGAATTAGCTTTGTTCACTTTTTCGAATATATGCTTTTCAAAAGTTAAATCTTCGTCTATAACTACTCCAATATCCTTCTCTTCTCTACATTTGATAATATTATGACATAGTAGGTTGTATGTTGTGCTGTCTTCTCGTACCCCTCTGCTTATATTTATATGTTTACATTTTTCTAGGATGGAATTTCAGGAGCTATGTATCACTCCACTTTCAAGTTGTTTTAAGTCATTTTGCAGTATATCTTAGTCTGTTTTGTCTTCAATGATCCTGAAGATTTTGATGTCATCATCGAGGCATCCGATGTGACACATTCTGGCAAGTCGTTTATGTATAGAACAAATAACGGGGCCTAATACTGAGCCTTTGGGTATTCCTGATGTTACATCTTTCCACTCTGATGTTTCCCCGTCCACTGACACTCAGAAAGTCTGTTACCCAATCTAGGATTGGATTAACTATCCCAAATTTCTCAACTTTCTTTACGAGTCTCCTGTGTGGTACTTTGTCGAAGGCTTTCATGAAGTCTGTGTATATGCAATTAACCTCATGACCATTATCTATAGCTTCTGTCCATTTATCTATTACCTCCAGTAGTTGTAGCGTTGTTGATCTTCCAGAAATAAATCCGTACTGTTTATTTGAAAATAATTTATTTTCTTCCATATGGCTAATAATATGCTCTCTTATAATTTTCTCCATAATTTTGCAAACCGCTGATGTAAGGCTTACTGGTCTATAGTTTTTCGCTTTTGCTTTATTCCCTTTTTTGAAGATTGCACTTACTAAGGCATTTACCAATCCTTTGGGACTACTTTTTGAGTTATTGATTGGCTAAAAATTATGCTTAGTGGTTCAGCTATGCCTTCCTTTACTTCAAACAACAGTCTTTGGTGTAGATTATCAGGGACAGGAGAATTATCTGTTTTTAATTTTTATACGACCGCAAAAATTAAAATTTTTTTGGTCGTATATTGGTATGACGTTGGCGTCGTCGTCGTCGTCGTCGTCGTCGTCGTCGTCGTCGTCCGGCGTCGTCCTGTGTCGTCCGAAGACACATTGGTTTTCGCACTCTAACTTTAGTTTAAGTGAATGGAGCTCCATGAAATTTTACCATAAGGTTCAATACCACGAAAGGAAGGTTTGGATTGATTTTGGGGGTTATGGTACCAACAGTTAAGGAATTAGGGGCCAAAAAGGGGCCAAAAATAATCATTTTTTCTAGTTTCCAGACAATAACTTGTGTTCAAGTGTATGGATCTCTCTGAAATTGTACTGAAAGGTACCATACCACAAAGGGAAGGCTGGGATTGAGTTTGGGGGTGATGAATCATAAGGGGGTTCAAAAAATCTGGGGGGGATTTTTTTTTTTCGTTTTTTTTCTTTTTTTCCTTTTTTTTTTCTTTTAAAATTTTCCATTTTAAGTTGGTTATTTCTGATTTATATTTAAAAGCAAATAATAATGATATGGTAGGAGATACACACCAAACAGGATGTGTAAATTATTATATAATAAGTATTGTGCAATAGCAAGAAATTTTCAATTGCACAGTATTGCACAATAGCAAGAAATCTTCAATTGCACAGTATTGCGCAATAGCAAGAAATCTTCAATTGCACAGTATTGCGCAATAGCAAGAAATATCCAATAGCACAATATTGCGCAATAGTAAGAAATTGTCAATTGTACAGTATTGCGCAATAGCAAGAAATATTCAATTGCACAGTATTGTGCAAAAGAAGATACTTCGTATAAATTGCTTATTTCTTGATCAATTTCAATGGGGTTTTATTCTTGAATTCTAGGGGTTCTTTAATATGTTGAATCTAACCGTGTATTAAGTTTTTGGATTTTGGGCCCCGTTTTTAGATTGGTCCACATTGAGGTCCAAAGGGTCCAAAATTTAACTTTGTTTGATTTCATCAAAAATTGAATTATTGGGGTTCTTTGATATGCCGAATCTAACCGTGTATTTAGATTCTTAATTTTTGGTTCCGTTTTCAAATTGGTCTACATTAAGGTCCAAAGGGTCCAAAATTAAACTTAGTTTGATTTTAACAAAAATTGAATTTTTAGGGTTCTTTGATATGCTGAATCTAAACATGTATTTAGATTTTTGATTATGGGCCCAGTTTTCAAGTTGGTCCAAATCGGGGTCCAAAATCAAACTTTGTTAGATTTCAACAAAAATTGAATAAATGGGGTTCTTTGATATGCTGAATCTAACCATGTATTTAGGTTTTTGATTTTTGGGCCCCGTTATCAACTTTGTCCACATTGAGGTCAAAAGGGTCCAAAATTAAACTTTGTTTGATTTCATCAAAAATTGAATTCTTGGGGTTCTTTGATATGCTGAATCTAACCATGTATTTAGTTTTTGGATATTGGACTATAATAGGTGAATGTCCAATTTAAAATTTTTAAGTTCTTAGACCACATTCATGCTGTGTCAAATATTTAATCACAATCCAAATTCAGAGCTGTATCAAGCTTGAATGTTGTGTCCATACTTGCCCCAACTGTTCAGGGTTCGACCTCTGCGGTCGTATCAAGCTGCGCCCTGCGGAGCATTTTATTTGAAGGTGCTTCAATACCATATCAATGTCAATATTTAATTCCTCTATTTTGTTTTGTATGAATATTGGTTTAGGTTCTGGGATATTGCCTTCGGTTCATTTGTAAATACACTAGTAAAATATTCTGATAATATTTCAGCTTTTTGTTAATTATCATCCGTTTTTTTTTTCAGATTTTACATCTTCTGTGTCACCATGTAGGTCACCTATACCTTCTCTTGTCTTTGGTTTAGGTTTAATATAACTCCATATGGCTTTAGGATCTGTCTTGGCATTATCAGATAATCCTTTTTCAAATAATTTCTTTTGTTTATTTACCGATGTTTTGGCCTGATTTCTCACTTTGTTGTATTCGGCTCTTGTTTCTGGGTCTTGTTTAGTTATGATTTTTATTAGATAAAATGTTTTTCCTTCTAATCAGCTCTCTAGCTTTGTTATCTATTGGGAATAA